TCCAAAATTCGATGCAACCAGCTAGGCGTCAGAGCATCGCAACCCACACGTCTTCAACTCAATTCTTGCAAACTAGTTGATTATGCAGTACATGCTCGGAAGTTTCCACGTCCTCAGACTTCTACTTGGAGGGTCATCGGGACTTAGTAAGTAGGTCAATAACCCCTATAAGGTCCTATAAGCCATATGCCATATAATATATACATGTATATATGTTACCCCAGTTATCCCCAGTATTAACCTACTTACTTGGTCCCCATGACCCTCCAAGTAGTACATGACAAAGGTGACCGCAAAATCCAAAAGCCTGCGAAAATCGGAGCTGGAGTTTCCTCAGTGGTTCGGTCTGTTTGAGTCTGATAGCGTATGTGTTTTGGTCCACGGGCTGCCGAAGCCCGAAGGAGTTTTGCTGGTACTTAAATTAGGCCAGATTTACGGTTCTGGTCTGGAAGCTTGCGAAATAGGGTCTTATTTGGCAACAAAAAGGTACAACTGCTCAAGGTCAGTGGGCATGTAGGTGGCTCCATCCCTCACTTGCGACACAGCAAGGGCCCGTATCAGGAAGAGTCGTGCTTGAAAGCAGGAATTCAATGGTGGGTTGGCGTGATCCTACAAAATCGTACAGCCCCTACACGCCACAGCCAAAACTCTCTCGTTCCAACTCCACACGCAAGACCTCTAAGCAACACGAAGCGTTGGCTTATGACCTGCCGAGATGCAACTCCGACAGCTCCTGACGGACGTTGCCAACAGCAGCGGCAGCGTACTGCAAGCAGCCGGGGGAAGCCACGTGGTGGCGGGCATCGTGGTCAAGGACGGTGCCAGTGGTTGCTTTCTGGGATGGAGACTCACATTCTGGATATGTCATACGGGCACACTTCCAGATGATGAAACTGGCAGTGGGTTCCGCGCGTGCCCAGCACGTGCCAAATATCTGGAACATTATATATGTCTATATATCGTTCGTTTCTCCACCGTTCTTCAAAGAGTCTTTCACCCTGCAAGTAGTCCTACAGAATTGGAGCGCTCTTGAGAGCTGAGCGCGCCCTGAGCACCTCAACAGTCCAAAGTTTTGTGAACCGTGATTGATCTTAATTTGTTCCGAGTGCAGCAAATTAGCAACACGGCATCTGCGGGTGTTGTAATCGAATCATATATTCAAGAACTGTCCCTGTGAAGTCTCTGAACATATAATGTTCACCTCATATTCATAAACCCCCGCGTAACTGCAAAATCCAAATCCCAGAACGTAATTACAAAACCCTTGTAATTGCAAAATCCAACCTGCCAAAACGCAAAAATTCTACTACTGGCCAGTACTACAGTACTACTATTGGCTACGACGACTGGAGTTCCAGCCCACGGTCCCGGACACCCTTAATTACGGAGGCTCGGGTTCACATCCTCGTGGGAGTGGGGTTGGGGTGGGGTTCTTATTATGAGGTTAGCATTACGCACCTTGCCCATGCAGTCCGCTTCGAGATTCACCCGCTCACCAACCTGCAGGGTTTCCAGGACAACTTTCTACAAGTAGCTAAGTATCCACCTGTCACAGGAATGCAAACACAAGACGAGCTATTGATAGAATTTCAGTTTTCTACGGAGATCCACACAGTCACTCCGCACTACAAAAATGCCCTGCAAAACACAAAAGCCGAGCATAATCCGCCGACCCCGGCCTGGCGGGGTGTGCGCACAGTGAAGCCTCTTCGTT